CCAGAGAGATGTTCACAAGTGTTGATGTCAGTTGGCCTGGATCAGTGCATGATTCCAGAATATGGAGAAATTCACAGAGTATATCACAACTAATAAATAAAGCAAATGTTGTACTACTTGGCGATGTCGGTTATGGTATTGAGCCATGCCTTATGACTCCCTTCAGAAATCCTACTCCAGGTGCAGAAATAAATTACAATAAGCTTTTAAAACGAGAAAGAGTTATAATTGAACGCTGTATCGGCCAACTGAAACGCCGGTTTCCTATCCTTCAGTATGTTTGCAGCGTAAAGTTGGAAAATGTGCCGAAAATAATTATTGCTTTGTACTCCATAATATTGCGAAGAGCTTGGGCAATCCTGACTTTGAGTTAGTTCAACAAGACCCAGATGAAGATGATGGAAATCATCAGAATGACGAACTTCTCCGCCAGCGAGGTCAACAGATAAGAAGAAACTTGAGTACCTATTATAATAAATAGTTTTACTGATTAAAGTGTATTTATAAGTTATAATAAGTTTTATTTTCGTGAACATCATAAGTTACAGGTGGCTGCATCATTTCTAATTTCGTTTTATAATACTTTTGTTGTAAGATACTTTGGTACTGCTGTAATAGCACTAGACATTGCAGTTCTTTTGTAGTTAACCGCTTGGTTTCCTCAGTTTCGTATTTTTTCTGTTGGTGGCAATGTCTTCTGAAGTGCTGGCGCTGTAATACTAACTGTTTGCTCACTGCGCTCGGTATATAGTTCACTACCTTCTTCTTGAACAGTACCAACCTGAATGGCACCTCTAATTTTCCCAATTGTAGGATTACAGTCACCTTCCATAGCTTTCAGCAAGTTTCTTTCCCAATCTAACAATTTAATTACTTTATTACCAGTTTTTTTTAGATCTGTTTCTTTCTTCAATCTTGATTTCATGTTGTTGATTTTTTTTTAATAAGCCTTTAGTATCTAATGGTTTACCGAATGTTGATTCGTATTTTTCCAATATCTTCTCCAAGGCATCGTCATTTCTCATTTTTATTTTTGGAACTTGTGACTTTTGCAAAATAATGGGAGCAATGGCAATTTCACCTGCGATGAACTGCAGGTCGTTGCCATTATTTTCTATAGTTTCCTCATCACTTGACGATGACATCCCTATTAATTTGATAAAAAACTATATACAGTTTAAATACGGAACGGTCTGTATAAGCTCTAGAGTACAACTGTCAGTGATGCTGAGTGAACGAACTCCCACGTCAACTACAAGCTGGAACAGGTCAGGACATGTCGCTCAAGATACAAATACCAGTCAACCTTTTACTTCTTCTTGGAGGATATCCTCGCAAGTATAAGGTAATCATTATGAATATGAAAACAAATATATGCTTATACTTCTACTATACCTTTTTCTCCGAAGCAAGACCTTATACTTTTACCTTATGCTTCCGAGGATATAATTCTCTTTTATGAATACGGCTCAATACCTGTAGGAGATACAACTTAGGTTAAATTAGAAAAAAGTTGCGTTCTTTGCCAAGATATTTGGGAAAAACCAAAATTTGACCAAATCATTCGTATTCTTTTCTGACTATATTTTATAGGAATATCAAAAAACTCATGAAATGTTACTATTGGCACTTTTTAGGCAGTTGATGGTGGTGTGGTTAAATCTTCAATAATAAATCATCAACTTAATTTTTTTATATGGTTTCTACCTTGTATCTAGTTGCATCTTTTATACGAATTCAACGATGTATCACAAGCTACATTTATTTTATTTGTTATAAGAAAAAATGCACTTTTTCCGTTTTTTTTTTAATTTTTCCAAGTAGGCGTTCCAAACAGATGCTTGACTTGACGTAAATATCTGTCACCGAGTATTGTCATTATTATGTAGTGTTGATATTGCTTTATTACTGTCAAAGCTGCCGCCGATGAAGATAAGTTCGACATGCTACATTTTGTGCTACAAAAATACTAAAAATACTGAAGAAATGTATCTTGATGGATTTCTCGGAAGAAGGCAGCTAAGTAAGCCCGTTTTCTTAAAGTTGTCTCGAAATTTAAATGAATATGAATTCAAAAAGCCTGTTGCGTCTCGAAAAAAGGAATCTTTGGACGAAACTCAGAATAGTGTTTTTCAAGGAGTGGCTCTGAGATATCAACTAGGCAAATTGAGAAAAATTTAGTAGTAGTCAAATCCACAGCCCAATTTATTTTGCGTAAAAATAGATATCATCCCTATAAATTCACGATTTGTCAAGGATTTAGACCAGGGTGAGGGAACTGCGCCTACATTTTTGGGAGTGGTACCCACGAACGTGTGAAAAAGATTTTAATTTCCGTTCAAAAATAATAGAAGGGTACCGGGGAATAACGACAATAGTCCATCTGGACCGATTTTGAGAAAATCGGTAATTAAGGTTTACTTACTTGTTGGAAAGTAAAATTGATGAAAAAGTAAGTCGTAAAGAATATATTTGCTAAACAGTGTGTTTATTGGTAAAATAGATTTTACAAAATGAAATTTTACTCAAAACTAGTAACGTGACAAACAACAGATGATGTTCAACTCTGGACTCGTGCCACTTTTTCCCTGCTTTAAGCGTCTATCATCACTGCTGTCTTCTGGATGATCAAGAGATATTAACTGTTGATAAAAATGCCCTGGAATCTGCCCTCTCTAGAAATTTGGTCAGATCCTGCATATCCTTCCATTTCTTACTTTTAATTGGGATTGGGCCCTGGTAAAGTTTTTTCAATGTTTCCTCTTCTCGTTTTTGTTGAATTCTTTGCGTCTTTTTTAGATTCTTCCGAATAACCTTATCAAATTTAGAACTAGCATATAGGCTCATGTATGTCGATTTATGAAAAACTACGCGAGGATTCTGTTTACAAAACTTGAGCATCCTGACTGGTCGGGTTGTAAAGGGGCACTTCGTTGGATAAAACGGCGATAAAAACGTACTCCATTCTTGAAAATCAAAATTTTTGCCACAATCGATGACTTCAAATGGTGTGGGTTTCACACGGAAATTTTTCAATTTATCTCTCCAGTCATCCGGTACCTGTTTGGTTCACGAGACTCATATCTCTATCACACTCGAGGTATGTATGCCCCCTGATCGGGAATATTATTTTCATAGTAGTAAAACGATTTTTCTTGGTAACCAAGTAATGCAAAAACCGAATCACTGTAAAGTTTTTATTTTGCCCTGCACAGGAGTCATAGAAAATGGCAAGTTCTTTTAGTTCCATAGGCAGGATGTTATAAAAAAAAAGTGATACAGCATAGAACAGACATCGTCAGCTCCTTTCTTAGCAATAGATTCATCGTAGGTATAAAAGATTTGAGTTTGACAGAGTGTGGATGTTAAAACTGTTAAAATTTAGTTGCCGCTTATAGTAAACATCATTTGTCGTGATATTTGGACAGGGCAAGTTTTTTTGGTAATCCATCGTGATACTTTCGATAGCGGGGAACTTCGAGGCACGTTTGCGGTAAGTTCTCTTTATACTGTAAAATCGCTCACCCCTTTTTTAATGTAGTGTCTTCTCAAGTATCTTTTTCTACAAATTACTTGCTGACTGCCTAGTTTGTTCCGTGTGGGAATTTAAGGTAGCGGTAAGTGACGATATATCAGCTTTTAAGAAATCACACGTACTACAAGTATCGTTTCGTGGATAACCGAACGATATATTTAAGTTGTTTTCAAAGGTTCTTAGGAAACCTTGTTTTCAACATTGCCAATAGAATAATACATTTTGTGTAATTTTGCGATATTTAGATTTTCAGGTAGGTAAACTTTTTGCGAATCTGCCAAAGAATAATGACATTTGCGGCATTTGAGGCTCTTAATAAACTCGGTCACTTTCTGTTTTGTGTTTTCTGAAAGTTTGTGAAGTCTTGTGTCGTGTTTTCCACGCATGTCGATGGGCGATTTCTCAGTTGCAACTAATCTTATCTTATGTACCGAACTCGACGAACTGTAATTCCGTGTAAATGCAAAAAAGCCTTAAGGCAAACTGGACATCATGTAGGTATAATTCCATTTTCAACGAATCGGACACGATAAATAAATGAAGCATTATTAAGCCTGACTCTGGTTCATTTTTTCGAGAGCGTCTACGCATAACAGGATGAACAGTGATAAGACCACTAAGATAAAAAAAATCTTATTATACATACATATTAGAAAGTTGCAGTTCAACAGAAATGTGGAAAAGGTTAAGGAACAATGGAATAGTCTCTCAAAAGGATAACACCATTCCAAATTCCTTTAATGATGTCAATAAACTTAATAATTTTTTTGTTAACAGTATACCTAATATACAGCCTTCTCCTAACTTAATAAATTTCTACAGAAATACTAGGAGAAATTCTTCAAATTTTGAATTCAAAGAAGTTAATGATTTATTTGTTTATGAAGCAATTTGCCGTATTAAAACTAATGCTCGTGGTTGCGATGGTTTTAATTTAAATTTTATTAAACTATGTTGCCCTCATATTATTCCTTATTTAACTCATATAATTAATTTTTGTTTTACGCTTAATCAGTTCCCTGATCTGTGGAAGCAAGCAAATGTCTGTGTTCTGCCAAAAAAACCTAATCCTTCAGATCTTAAAGATCTCAGAGGGACTAGTGTTTTACCATTTTTCTCTAAATTATTTGAGCGTGCAATGGAGGAGCAACTTTCTTATCATTTGTCACAATTTTCATTACTGCCAATTGTACAGTCTGGATTTAGGAAAAGTCATAGCTGTACGGCGTCTTTACTTCATGTAACAGACGACATAATTAGAGCTACAGATCGTGGCGAGTGTACTGTTCTTGTTCTGCTGGATTTCAGCAGAGCGTTTGACACTTTAAACCATCAATTAATGCTTGCTATTTTACATCATATTGGTCTTTCTCAAAACGCTAAAGATTTATTTCAGTGCTACTTCACTAAGCGGAAACAAACAGTTGTTTTAAATGGAGTTCAGTCTTTATCTTTAAATTTGAAATCCGGCGTACCCCAAGGGTGCATACTTGCACCACTCCTATTTCTAATTTATACATCTAATCTCATGCACTTCCTTAGTCTATGTAATGTGCATTTTTACGTTAATGACACACAAATCTATTGCAGCTTCCCCCCACAATTGATGGATCGTTTCTCGTTGATCATTAATAATGAGCTAAACTCCTTTGTAGAATGTGCCACACGCCACTGTCTTTTAATAAATCCATCAAAGTCTCACGTAATTGTTTTTGGACCTAGACAAAATAAAAATGTTATAGAGAATCTTATTAAAATTGAGATAAATGGTGTAACTCTCAAAATAATGGACAATGTAAAAAATGTAGGTGTTGTGATTGATAGTAATCTTCGATTTGAGTATCACATCAGCAAAATTATGCAGAGAGCATATTTGTCGTTGAAATTTATTTACGGTAGCCGGAAATTTCTCTCGTTAAAACTTAAGATCATGCTATGTGATACTTTAGTATTATCTTTATTCAACTACGCTGATGTGCTTTACGGCCCACACTTAACTAACCTGTATCGACGTAAAGTTCAACTGGTTCAAAACTCATGCTTGCGCCTTGCATTTGGTATACAGAGGAGACATAGAATATCTCACAAATTGAAAGATGCAGGTTGGTTAAATATGGAAAATCGTATGCTCCTCCACTCTGCTGTTTTTTATCATAAATTAATTTTAGTCAGAACACCACAATATCTTTATCAAAAAATAACCTACCGGACTGACGTTCATAACATTAACGTAAGAAGTAAGGGTCTTATTTCGCCACCCAAGTTTAGAACGTCAATCTTCAAACGGAGCTTCACATACCAAATATATAAAGTCTACAACTCAGTCCGGAAGGAACTAAAATTTTCTAGAATAGATAACTTCAAAGCCATGTTTAAAAAGGAACTGCTGAAAAAACAGTAGCACCGCATGAATGAATGAATTATTGTTTTTTTTTGTTAGCGTGTAGGTATGTCCCTCTTTTATAGTGACATGTATGTATTATCGGTTTATCGGATGTCATATGTCGTAGAGGATACTGGGCTAAGTGGAAGAGCAGGTTGTTGGTACTGTGTACTAATCAAACTGAACTTCGCCTTTTATTGACACTGGATGTACTTATGTTCACTTACCATGTTGTCAATGTCTTATGTCAATAATAAAGACGGTTATTATTATTATTATTATTATTATAAGCGTTTTGTGCATTAGTGTTTCCTAGTTCATTAAATTCACCTAGAAGTCTGCAGCGTTCAGGTTCGGGAACAGTAGTAAATCAGCGAAAACGTTCACAAAAACAATCAGATCCAAGTTCGTGGGTAGTGGCGAGGAACGTTTTCATTACGTCTCTTTGTCTTACTGTTTTTTTGCGTTTTTTCGTTTCTCTGTTTGATGGGTCTGGTTCATTTTCACTTGAAAATGAATAGTCACTATCCATTATACACAAAACCAGTATTTATAAACTAAATTAGTGAATATAGAAAATATTCAAAATATCAGCGTATACAATACACGTGGACTCTAATAGTACACTAATGGCTGATGCAATAACGAAGAGCCCATGCAACGCCTCCTTTCCATATAGACTGATGCCATTTTTCCATACACACGCAGCGACTCATGCCATACTTCCCCGGCACAGGGAATCTGGTAGCTGTTGTTTTGTGAACCTAAGCCCTTTTTACAGTTTAAGAAGCTGATTACAAGAGAGCATCAGGAAAATGCCACCAAAATAAACTGAAAGCCCAATTTAGCCAAATAATGGACTTATGCCGTTTTTCCCCGATACCCTTCATATGGTCCGACGAGAGTATGGTCACTAATACTGGTATATTTAATTGCCGCACCACTCATTACTGGGCTCAATAATCACTGGACAACAAATTTTAGTTTTTTAATTGTATCTTGTGGGAAAAGTGCACTTTGTTAGTTTTGGGGCGCTGAATCCAAAAATGACAATGAAATAAAAAAATTAGTTGCGGTTTAGAAAAAAAACTTTTTATTTTTAAGGATACATTAAAAAAAGTAACAAGATTCATATACTTATAAGAATCACTATATGCGCTGTCTTTTTGCTGTTCTTTTATGGATCGTTTCTGGAGCATCTCTACCAAGAGTCCAACAGTAGTCTGCAAGCATGGAAGGATTCCACTTTCCCTGGTACCTTTTTTCCATTGTTGAAATATCCTGATGAAAACGTTCGCCGTGTTCATCACTTACGGCTCCGCAATTGTCAGGAAAAAAGTCCCGGTGTGAGTGTAGGAAATGTATCTTAAGAGAGATATTACAGCCCATCTTTTGATACGATGACAGCATATTTTTGACAAGGGTTTTATAGTTGTCAGCTTTTCTATTTCCCAAGAAATTAGTGACCACCAGACGGAAATCATTCCAAGCAGTTTTTTCAATGCCTGTTAAAGTGTTTTCAAACTGTGTATCTTTCAAAATATTTCGAATCTGTGGCCTAATAAAAATACCTTCTTTAACCTTTGCCTCACTTAGTCTTGGAAATTTCTAACGCAGGTATTGAAAAGCTGACCCATCTCTATCTAATGCCTTGACAAGGTTTTTCATTAGGCCCAACTTGATATGCAGTGGTGGTAATAAAAATTTTTTCGAATCTACTAATGGCGTATGCTGTACATTCTTTTGACCTGGCTCTAGGAATTGACGAACAGGCCAGTTTTGTCTGGTGTAATGAAGTACCTTTGCCCGACTGTCCCATTCACATAAAAAATAGCAAAACTTTGTGTAGCCTAGCTGCAGCCCAAGTAAAAGTCCAACAACTTTCAAATCGCCACAAATATGCCATTGGTGCTCATCGTATTTTATGCATGTCAATAGGTACTTCATATTGTCATATGACTCTTTCATGTGAACTGCATACCCTACAGGAAGAGATGGTAAAATATTTCCAATATGCAATAACACTGCCTTTAAACTCAATGTTGAACTGTCTATAAACAATCTCCATTCTTCTGGGTTATAGTTTATATTTAAAGCCGCCAGTAAGCCGTTAATGTTACTGCAGAAAACCAAGTTATTCTCCATATTGAAAAATGGTTCTAAGTCTTTGTGGCGTTTACGAAAAACACATACCGAAACATCGTCTTCTAACAAGTTCCACTGCTGCAGTCTTGATCCAAGTAACTCTGCCTTACATTTTGGAAGTTCTAAATCTCTTACAAGATCATTTAATTCTGACTGTGTTATTTTGTGCGGTTGGTGGCATGACGTGCTCGGTATAAAATCAGGATCTCTTGACGTTGATGGCATATCTTCTTCCTGACAAATCACTCGATCGCCATGATCTGATTCGTTTTCTGATTCGCAAGTGTAGGATTCTGGGGGTTTTGGAATAGGATTTTCGTCACTGTGAGGCACAGGTCTCATCGCAGATGGTATGTTTGGGTAGTTAATAACCGATTTTTTTTTCTTGGACATACCTGTGGCTTGCCCAACACAAGGTACCATGCAAAAGTAACAATCATTAATATGATTTGTAGGCTCTCTCCAAACCATTGGGACAGCAAAGCGCATAGACCGTTTTTTGCCATTTAACCAGCTCCTCAGACTTGAAGCACATGTATTACAGTAGATGTGGGGTGCCCACTGTTTGTCTTGATCACCTAGTTTACAACCGAAATAAAGCTGACATGCCTTTGTTATTAGTGGAGTAATATACCGTCTCTGAGACGCAAAAGTCACATCACTACACACTTAACAAAACTGATCTGGATTGTTTACACACTTTCGAGACAACTTGCATGAACGCTGTCAGCCAACTGAGGAAAAAATGGCTAATATAAAACAATATAATGTACACGTATGTATAACGTAACACAATCATGCCGATTACATCATCTTTCCTTGCCGAATATAAAAATGTAGCACGTGCATTCTTGTGAATTACAGTATATTAACACTGTCACAGCAGGAACACATATAATTACCGTATCTCTAAAACTTGAACTAATATTGAAAAAATAAGTTTCATTCCGGTATTAGCACATTAAAAATAGTAATATTTTGTTGATTTTATTTAGGATATTTTTGGCTGTTGATCAGTGTAATCTGCGAGCTAAAAACGTCTTCCAGACTTCAAGAACGTTTTTGGTTTAATATGTGATGTGAAAGACGACAAATAGACATAGGTAAATAAGTAACATCTTTAGAAGCTTGGAAATAGCAAGAATATCACGCTCGTCCTCCAAGCATGTCATACATTTTCGGAAGAAAAATCAGTTGTTTTTATGTCTGCTCCATACCGCCATTATCGCTAATAGCAAGAAAAACAGAAAAGTGTGCCGTGACATTTCTCAAATCGGAACTGCATATAGACGAATTTTTTGTTATTTTTGGATCAATCGGAAGAGGCTCACGTCGACAGGGTGATTGAAACGGCACAGATGTACCGTGTCAAGGACATGTGCCCTTGCGACAAGCTGCCACCATTCAAATACGGTGGATTAGCGCTTGCTTTTCTACATAGACAAATGAACGAAGTTAGATTTTTAGATGGTGTTTAATTGTCTGTGATGACGTTAGAATATTTTAGCTATTAGTCAGATATTCACTGGATTAACTTAAGAGAAACGTATCATAGTGAGTTGATGTGTAAAATCAATTAGGCCAAAGATTAGAGATAGTATTCGTATGAAGCCAATCTTGTCGACAAGGATTGTGAGGCTTTTGGAAATCTGGTAGACCTAGAACAAGGCATAGAACTTTAAAAAAATATTACCAATTACTATGAATACACAATTAAATATTCATAAATAATAATTATTATTATTAACAATGGTTATAGGGATTTCATAAATGCCTGCCGAATTTTTCAGTTGTTTTCTATTTAACTAACCTCATCTGTAGTTAATGGGGACAGAAAGACAGACTGATTACTCCTAATTCATTACAATCAAATTTTCTATTTTTTTAATACATAGCAGCATGGTTATTCCTAACTATATTCCAATCAAATTTAATGTTTTTCCAAATTCTTAATTATATTTGAGGAGGTAGGCATTCTATACAGGGTGTCCAAGATAAAGATTCTATGCATGGGATCTCATTACCTGTGGGAGATACAGTGTAGGTTAAATTCAAAGAAAGCTGCGTTCTTTGGGGCGTATTTACATGCCGTTGAGAGACTTGTAAAAATGTCATGGCTTACTGAGGTATTTGGGAAAAACTAAAATTTGGCCAAATCATTTTTGTTCTGACTTCATTTTGAGTTTTCGTTTTTTGAGAAACTATCGTCAACTTTATATTGCGCTATCCCTGGTCTAAGTCCTTGACAAATAGCGAACTTATTTTGACGCAAAATAAATTGGGCAGTGGATTTGGCTACTCCCATAATTTTCTCAATTTGCGCAGTTGGTATCTCAGAGTTCTCAGCAACTGCTTGTAGAATACTGAGTTTCTTCTAAATATTATTTTTTTCGATACGTAACAGGC